GAGGAGGAGGAGGAGGACACGATGACGATGAAGATGACAACAAATGGAGAGAGATGAACAATTCAAATTATCAGCTTTAAAATTTACTTCACAACTTCCAACTTAAAATGAGACTCTCCACATACGACTGATAGAATAATAATAACCCTAACTTACAAGGCTATTAGGAGCATCAAACAACACAAATAGAGGTATTTCATATTAAGATAGACAATAAGCACTCAGGAGACAGATACAGGAGGAAGAAGAGTTTAAGGCAAGGCTGGGCTGCATAAGGAGTTCAAGGTTAAATTGGACTATATAATAAGGCCCTGTCTCAGAAAACAAATTAACATACATATTAATGTCACTATAAAATGAGCTCTTTTTCACATTTACATTTCTAAAGATGTGCTTATACTTGATAGTATTTCATTAGGTAATGTTACTATCCAAAAAAGCAACTATGTATCTTCCATTCAGCATCTTATAAGACCAAGGAAATACAGTAATATTTAATATATGTAACTGTAAGTAGCAGGCACACATAGTATCCCACTTCACAACTGTCTTATAGACTAAACAATATTATCCCTCTTTTATGGATGAGTCTACTGAGTCATGAAGATGTTAAATACTTTGCCCAGGGTCACAGCTAGATGTAAGGGCTAGAAACAAAACCCAAATAGAACTACATTCAGAGACCTTGCTAGTAAACTATCTGTAAAGTATTAAATGAAGATTTTTGACAATTTCTGTTTACCAAATGCTCCCAGACTGCTTTTCATTTGATTTTATCTGCACTGCTCAATGTGTGTCTTCTCTAACAATATGAATTATCATTTGTGTCTATCATTCTGTGATTTTAAACCAAACTCTCTACTTCCTTCTTTTTAGGTCTTCCTACTATTTCTAAAGTCCTCCAATTCCCCCACCAGATAAAACTTCTTCGACCCACAAATCAACAGGTTTTTAAAAACTGTAAGGTATTCTTACAGTTTTGACCACAAGAGAAATATCTGTCAAATTTTGATGAGCATTTGTATATAGGTAAATTAGGTTTCACCTCAGATTCTAATCAAACTGTATATATTTTGATTCAGTAGGTCTGGGATAAGACCTGTGATTCTATAGTTCTAAGCCCAGCAAAGACAATACTAAATTATGTAGTATCAACTCCACTTGCTTTAGTTTTTGATTACTGATTACATCTATAAAGTTTACACATTGATGACTGCTGAGTGCATGATTAATGTAAAATACCTCATTAATAGTTTTCCAAGTAGTAACGCAATAATTTTCTACCCTAATCTTTAAAAGCTGACTTCCATTGAAAGATAACAACTATTACTATCATCAGCAGTTACAACTGCAACATTCATCATCATATTAGTAATATATAGCAATAATAGCCATAATTTATTGAGCAAATACTAAATGCTCAAATAATTAAGACATTTTACTTTATGTATGTTCATCTTTTAAATAATCCTCAAAGCTGAATATTCCCATTCATAAATTTCCCTGTCAAAAGTATTTAAGTATTCTGGCTGGGGAGATAGCTAAGTAGAATAAGCGCTTGCCTGGCAAGTGCAAGGTCCTCAGTTCAAGCCTCGGTACCCCCCCCCCAAAAAAGTATTTAAGTATTCTGCCTCCCTTTCAAGATATATGGAAATTATGTAAATAAAATATGCCTTAAAATTTAATTGAAATATCAAATCATATATTACTAAGTACTGATAAAAAGTTACCCAAAAGAAAATACTTGACTGGCAAGAGTCCATATAACCAATTATGTATCTATAGCTAAAAAACAAAATGTGTCAATTAGGGTAAAGCAATGAAGGTACCATAAAAACAATTACAGTGGTAAATAGTTGGCTTTAACCAAAGAAACTTTAAATCATGTTTCATTCCTACTAACAAAAGAGTATCTCTACTGGTAAATAAATGCAATAGCCTTGTAAAAATATTTCATGTCTGATTCCATGTTCACCAAAAAAACCTAATATACCTATGAACAAAATAATCATTAATTATGAAACCTTTCAACATTCTGCTTGACAGTAAATTCTCATACTATAATACAATAATCATGTGAATTTCATAAACATGCATTCATTTCCCTTAGAACTCACTCTCACTTAACAGAATTCCTCTCAAAACTGAGGATAGCCGGGCATGGTAGTGAACACCTATATCCCAACACTCAAGAGGCTGAGTTCAAGACCATCCTGGACTACACAGACTTTAGGGCAACCTGAACTACAAAGCAAAATTCTGCCCCCCCAAAAAAGACAAAAATAGAAAAAGAATGAAGATGGGCCGGGGAGATGGTTCAGTGGAGTAAGTGCTTCCCTGGCAAGTGCAAGGGCCTGAGTTTAATCCTCGGTTCTGCCAAAAAAAAAAGAAAAAAGAGAAGAAAAGAAAGAAAAAGACTTAAGAATAAGCTATAGTAATTTCACCAAGTGATAAATATTACCCTGTGACACCCTCTGGTCCTCATCCCTTCTGAATACCAAGGGATCAGATTTTACCTGAAACATAATCTTTTAAAGCATACCTCATCAAGAATTTCTCTATTTCTTTGTAGTAGTTCAGGTAGTTCTTTGATCAACTGATCAACAGTCTGGATACCTCCCTGTTCAATCACAGATGTGGACTTAGTCAATATAGACTGAGGTACAGTATCTCCAGACACATCTTCAATTGCTGCTGGAAGATTAAGGGAGGCTAATACCCTGGGGGGAATGAGATACTATGTCATGTAAAAGTCTAAAAAACCTTTAAAATATTAATCACTTACATCTGAGTGAATAGCAATGAAATTATTGAACACCTCAAAAAAGGAGATAAGCCAATTAATAAAAAAAGGAAAAGAGATCGATGATTGTTAAAATGAAATCATTAAAGAAGTTATTAAGTTTATACTTCAGAATTAAAACCCAGAGTAAGAAAAGCTATTACAGTATTAAAACGTATTAAAATAAGTTTAACTAATAGCTCAAACTAATTTCATTCTACGTAATTAAAAGTCAGAAATTCTATCTTAAAAAAGCAGTCTTTTATCATTTTATTGTAATAGTGTCACTAACAAATCAGAAATACACAACAAAAGTTACAATCTATGATCTAGGCAAATGCCAACAGAGCACAAGTGATGCAAGCATTAATTACGATGTTCATCTGTTCTCAGTTTTGTGATATGATAATGATTTCTTTCATCTACATGATGGGGGGTGGGATAACTTACCCCTACCTATTATTTATAAAGACAGAAAAGAAAAGAAGAGAGAAAAGAAGAAAAAAGAAAAGAATCTGACACAATAAATTCCATAGAAAATAAGTTTTGTACAAGCTCAAAACTCCCTCTTAAGCATGTGCACAATAAATTGCCTTCTTGCTAAAGAAAAATATCAAAAATCCACAGTCATAAAAATTAAAAACAGGCCAAGATAAGTTAGACTAGGAAAAAATATTCTCAATCACATATATCTGGTAAAGCATTTGCTTCAAAAGTAGGTAAATTTAAAGATAATTAAGAAGAAACAAATCAAATTTTAAAAAGGAACCAAGACAGGCACAGTGGTACATACCTGTATTTAGCACTTAGATCTAAGGCAGGAAGATCATAAGTTCAAGCTCTGCGTGGGCAACTTAATGAGACCATAACTCAAAATAAAAAATAAAGAATGTAGCTTGGTGGTAGAATACCTCTGGGCTCAATCCCGTTTTTTTTTTTTTTTTTTTAAAGTGCCTTTTTTAAGAAAAAAATTCTAAAAAGTGATTTACACTCAGGAGTCTGACACAGGAAGACCATATGGACCAGCTTGAACTACAGAGCAAGTTAAAGGACCATCTAAACTATAATAAATAAAAGGAGAGGCCAGGCATGGTGGCATACACCTGTAATCCCCGCACTCAGGAGTTAGAGGCAGGAGGACTGCTTCAAGTTCAAGGCCAGGCTGAGTTATAAAGTGAGTTCAAGGCCAGCCTGAACTGCACAGTGAAACCCTGTCTCAAAGAGGAAAAAGACAAAGAGACTGAGGGGAGGAAGGAGAGGGGGAGAGCTGGAAAGAGGGAAAATAATAAACAAGACAGGAGGGAAGAGAGAGGGAGAGGGAAAAAGATGGAGGGACTAGAAGACAGGCAGGTACACAGGTAGGGGAGAAAAATAGTAAAATGGCTGGGACTACAGCTCAGTGGAAGAGCCCTTCCCTAGCAGATGTAAAGTTGTTCTAGCAGGGATACACATACACACACGCACGCACGCACGCATGATTTCAACTGACACTTCACAAAAGATACATCAATGGCTAATATATGCAAATTTGATTAACATCATTGGTAATTATGGGAATGCAAAGTAAAATACAATGAATACTGCTCCATACACTAGAATGGCTAAAATTAGAGACAGCACTGATGAGAATGCAGAGCAACTACATTTCTCAAAACAGCACACCTGGGAATACAAAATGGAACACCTATTTTGGAAAGTAATATGCCAGTCTTGCATAAAGTTAAATATATACAACTCAAAAAAATTTCACTACTAGTCTTTATATCAGAAAACTAAACTACATCCACATAAAAATTTGCATATATATGTTCACAGTAAATGTATCAACACAAAAAAGAATTAACAAACTACTGTGTGACCATAACACAGAATACCAATCATCATAAAACTAATACACAAAAGGGAAATGAAACTTCAAATTATTATGCTAAGCAAAAGAAGACACTGAGTATATACTACTCATGTTCTACTGCATATACTACATACTGTAGCAATACTATTTGTACACACTACACATGCTATAATGACTACATTTGTATTAAAGTGTATAAAGAATAAAACTAACTTATAATGACAGGGAGTGGGGCCAGAGAAGAAATTCATGGGAAAAAGGCATGATTAAGGTAACAGAATATTCTCAATCTTATCTTGATAGTGATGGTGATAGTTATTTAAGCACACAAAATTATCAAAACTAGCTGAAATTATCAAAATTAATTTAAAATGGTATGTATTGCATACAACTTATACCTAAATTTTTTAAAAGTCAGTAAATTAATTATCAATCTGCAAACCACTAAAAACAAAACCTGTTTTAGAATACTTAATACATCATGTACTGCGTCTTACTTTAAAATGTTCATTTCTACTTCTCATTTCACTCAAATAAATCTCTCTTAAAATACAAACTAGTCATCAAAAATTCTCATCTCGTTTCTGTCAGTAAATTCATCCAACTATAACTTATTTGCTATGGCTTAATACAGGGTCCCTAGAAATACAAGACCATGTGTATCTATTTCTCTTATACTATATATTTCCTTGACATTTAACTTTAAGCTCAGGGAATTATAATGTTCATAAATTATTTAGTCAAAGAATAAACCAAACAGAAAACTTTACAAAGTTTTGAAAATTAAGTTTTACCTACCCATTTGCCAAAGTGGTAGCTTCTCTCATTTGAGCAATTGATCTGTTAACCAAATCAGCTTTTCTCTGATTAAATGCAGCCAAAGACTGCTGCACTGACACAGGAACCATCTTCTCAAACAGATCTAAATTTTGGAAATTTTTTTTAAATTTCAAGACAAAAAAAAAATTAGGCTGTAAAAATGACTTTATATTTTCTAATAGTCATATAGTTTACAAATACTTAAAGATCAAAACCAAATCACTACTAAAATTACAATGATAATGAACATTTTCAAATCATTATATTCATGGACACTGTAAATAACAAAAAGCTTTCTTTTTTGAATTTATTTTCTGTGACTTTTAAGATGTGTTTATTATTGAGAGTGAGCAATCTTTGGTTAACACTGCCCATTTTGATTAAACTGAGTGTGCCACATGTCAGAATTCCATTTCCAATTTGCTAGTTATGTAGCAAATACATAAAGTACAAATTATTTGCTAATGGGTCAAATAGCCACTCTATAAATAGTATCCTTATCAGTAAAATAGGGAAACTAATAAATAGTACCCTTATTATGGGGCATTTGTGAGCACTTTGGAAACTAATTATTTGCAAAAAGTGCTTAACAAAATAATAACTGTTTGTCTAAAGTTTCATTCAATACAATTTCAAGTTTTCTGACTTTATATATCATTTAATTTCCATTTTAAAATTTCACTGAAGATAATTTTTATTGTCACATTCACTTTAAACAATATGACTTCAAATTGTATCTAAAGCACACAAGAGCTACACGATTTTAGCTTAAAAACAGATTAAACTGGAAAAAAAAATGAGTAAGAATAACCAATAAAGTGCATCTGAAAAATAGGCATACCAGTGAACTTCTGGCTGATGGGTACATTGACTGGGGTAGACTTCACAAGTGTGGCTTTGCCAATAGAATCTAGATCTTTAAGGTCTGGAACTCGATCATGATAAATGAAGTCATTATCCTTCTTTGCTGCAGTAAGGGCACGGCTGATTTTGTCAGAAAAATCCTTCACATTGACATATTCATCATAGCGAGATGCCACTGTCTTAATCAATTCTGCTGCATGCTAAGAAGGAAAATGTTACAATTTTAAAAAGGAAAATTTTTTTCATTTTTCTCCACCAACCATTGGTTAAAATTAAGTTTTAAAAATTTGTTTAAAAATTTAATTTTGAGATTTGCATTTCCAGCAGTGTGCCTGATAGGGTTACCTGGAAATTCCTGCATCACAAAATAGTCTCAAAGTAAAGAACTATACATACTAGACATTCATTTCCACACATGGGTGAACTACCAAGGTAGTTAAAAAAAAAAAAAAATTCATGGATCAATCAGTATAAACCTGACAATGAGGAAAACTGGCTGTTAAATTATTTCTTTAAGCCAAAGAATTACTAATTAAAGTGTGTTATAAGTTGCCACAGAAACCTAAGGCAAGGGTCTGAAAACCACAGAACTGAAATGAACCCTTTTCATCCCTTTACATGAATGCAATAACCTCAAAGGGCTATATATTCAGTGAAAAAGTAGACCAGTAAAAATTACTCAAAAAGACTCTAAGATTATAGATTTGGGAAATGGAGATGTAGCTTAGTTGTAAAGCACTTGTCTACCACATATGAGGCCCTGTGTTTAACCCTCAACTCAAAAAATTAAAAATAAAAGTAGCCTATGTAAGATTTTAACTACACGAGTTTAATTTAGCAGACATAAAGAACCCTGGATTCACAATTTATACAATATACAACATCCTAATGCATATAAAGAACAGCTATATAAAATCACCAGATTAAGAAAGACAGCAACTGGGCACGGTGGCACATGCCTATAATCCCAGCACTTGGGAGGCTAAAGACAGGAGAATCATTACAACTTCAATCTATGTATTGAGACCCTGCAGACCCTGTAGACCCTGTCCTAAATAAAGGAAAAAAAAAAAAAAAAAGCCTAAATACCACTCAGAAGAAAACAAAAATGGCTTAATAGTAGAATATCTACTTATACATTTCTATAAAATAAAAAATTTGTTAAGATCAAGTATCTCCATAGGATGCTGAAAAGGCATTTAATAAAATCCTTTATTGGTATGGTTTGGGTAAGCACCTCCAAAGGGCCCATGTGTTAAAGGTGTGATTCCCAGTTAAGGTACATGAAAAGCTGGTGGAATTTTTTTTTAATATTTCTGAAGCATGTATTTTCATGCAAATCTCTTTTCAATGTAACATATCAGCTAAAATATTTTAGTAAATCAAACTCACTAACATTAAACCATGCATTTTCCTTAAGACTGGTAGAATTATTAAGAAGTCTGTCCTAATGTAAGGTCTTCTGGTTACTGGGGACCTGCACTTGAAGAGGATATCTGAGCCCCTACCCCTTCTATCCTCTTTTATATCTCAGCCATGAAATGAAAATTTTGCTACACAATGCTGTTGTGATATGCAGTCTTGCCACAGGCCCAAAAGCAGTGAGCCTGCTAATCACAGACTGACACCTACAAAACTGTGAATCAAACAAAACCACTTCTCCTTATAAAATGATTATCTAGGTATTTGTTACAGTAACACAATACTGACCAATATAACATCTTTTTTTAAATCTTAGTAAAATAAAAATGAGTCTAACATCATAAGAAAATCTTAACCTTGCCTCAAAAAAATCTTAAAAATCTTGATATACTTAATAAAAGCAAATAAATACAACATCCCTCAAGTAGCAATTGAAGATCACCAGCCATCACTATGACCACAGACATGCAAAACATGAGAAAAAAAAAATGTATTGTTTGCAAATAATACACCTATGTGTCAGGAAATCTAAGAGTTGCTGAACTATTCTAAATAATGAGAAAAGCACCTTAGATACAAAACCAAACTACTAAATACACATAATCATCAATTTGAAGAGTTAACAGAGGAAATAAATCCACTGCTAGTAGCAACATAAATATAAAATACCCAATATATTTAGAAAGACATGCCACATCAACAGCAATAAAGAAACAAGGATAACCAAAATAAAACAAAAGCTACATCTACAGTGTGAACCAAGAAATGGAAAAATGTAACTTGTTAAATCTGTTAATCAAATTTCATTTTTAAATTTGCCAAACACTTCCCCAAACAACAAAATTTGTACTACAATCTATGCTAAATATACAGTTTAAAGGAAAATGCTGAGGGTGCCAACCTAACTGGGAAATGTTGGAAGCAGATCAAAAAACCATGAAAAAGAAATAAAATACCTGCTATCCAATGAAAGAAGCAAAGCCAACTGGTAAAGCCACTAAGAGGTCATAGGAAATACTGAACACTGAGCAGCCTCATCCCAAAAATGAGCTGCTAAGAGCAGGAGGGAGATTAAATAAAAGAGCAGGGTTTCTAGGAGAAATACAGTAACTGGGGGGAGGGAGGAAACAGGCTAAAGGAGAAGAAAAAGATATGAGCCCATAGAAAATGCCAGCAAATAACAAACTCTAAAACTAGATGTAGCAACTTGAAAAGCAATGGGAAGCACAGAGAACTTCCTAAACCAACCAAGTTTTTTTGAAGACATGAGGAAGCCTTTATACAATGATGCCTGGAAAGCTACCCGGGCTCACTTCACAAGAGCATCCAAGAAAATCAATCTCATTCAAACACAAATAACTAAAAAGGTACCCCACTGGCCTCAACAAAAACTGTAAAAAAGATGATGAAAATGAACAGTACTGTGTAACGTATTAATAAATAATGAAAAATCAAGAAATATTGCCAGAATATAATTAAAATATGCTAGAAAACAAAAAATTAAAAATTTAAGAATGCAATCAATGCCAAAAACACAAAGTATGAACTAACTACTAGATGGCCCAGACTTCAGTGGGTGACAGCTAGATAGAAAGAGAACGGGAAATAGGAAATGACAACTCAGCAAAATGAAGAAAAATACAAATTCATTTAAGAAAGACCAAAACATTTTTAAAAGGAACAAAAAGACATCACAGAAATCACTAAAAAAAACATGAAAACTTGTCCCACATGCCACGTCAGCCCTGCTCCCAGGGTGCACTGAGCCAGGAGGAGGAATCTGGGCATGGTGGGAGATGCCTGTAATCCCAGCACTGGGGAAGCTAAAACAGGAGGATCACTCTGAGTCCAAACTGTGTAGTGAGACCCTGTACCAAACACACAAATTTAAAAACAACAATAACAACAACAACAAAAAAAAAAAAAACAAGAAAAATAAGAAATGTCAACACAGCAGTTGAGAAGATGCTGCTAAAAATTAGAAATTTCAGGAGGTCAGCCAAATAGCTCAGCAGATTATAGGGGTTTAATCCCCCAGGCCTGCTGTGCCAGCCCTGCCCCTGGGGCGTGCTGAGGAGGTGATTGAGACTGTGCATGGTGGTGCGCCTATAATCCCAGCTCTTGGGAGGCTGTAAATAGGTGGATCACTGCAAGTCTCTAAACACCCTGTAGACCCTTCCCTAAAAATACAAAAAAAAAAAAAAAAAAAAAAAAGATTTCAAAGGCATTAGCCAAGTGCAATGTGAAGACTGTATTACCCCAATTTCAACAAACCAAGACAAAGAAAAATGAGGAAAAACTAAGCTAGTTTTGTATAATACTGAGTTATGATTATTATTAATATTTGTAAGTTACTTTCTGTTATGGTTTGTATTTGTCCCTCTAAAGTTTCATGCAGTCATTGAGGAGCAGTTCTATGGTTTGTCATTCATTCATGATCCAAGGCTGCTAATATTGGGTCTGAGTACTGCTGGGATTATGGGTGTGAGTGCTACACCCAGCCTGGGGCTGACAGCCCCAATGTAACATAAAAGAAACAGAGACAGACTTGCTCTCTGTTGCCATTGTTGCTGTTCCTCCTCCCTTTTGCTCTCTGCTCTTTGCCACTGCCATGAACAGTTGCTCTCTGCCCTGTGCCACTCTGCCTTGGAGCCAGCTGAGTATGGACTGAAACCTCCAGTAACTGTGAGCTAAATAAACCTTTCTTTCCCAAATTTTGAGCATCAGGTATTTGCCCCAGCAACAAGAGTAACTAATACACTTTCCCATCACTAGGATAAAATACCCAACATCCATAATTTATAGAAGTTTTTTATGGCTCACAATTTTTTGAGGATTTAACCCAAGGTTGGCAGGGTCCAAAGGCAGAACAGCATGGTGGAAGGGAAAGGCAGAGAAACACTTCTCATGGGTGGCAGCCAAAAGCAAAAATCAAAAAGAGGAGCTAAGGACCAGAATACAACTTCACAGGTCACGCTCCCAGAGGACCCACATCTAACCAGGCTCTATATCTTAATAGCAGTTAGGTACTAAATTCATCAATAGATCAATCTACTGATGAGTATAGCAGTCCAACATATGAGACTCTGGACAGACAGTTTAGATGTAAACCACAATAATATAAAGTTAGCTAGTGCCAGGGATATAGTTCAGCAGGACAGTACCTGCCTGGCAAGCACAAGGTTGTGAGTTTGATTCTCAGTACCAAAAAAAAAAAAAAAAGAAGCTAGCTGGATACAGTAATGATACTATAACATGGGTTTGTTAATATTTATCTACTAAAGATTATTACATGTGAGACAAACTACAGAATATACCCAAAAATGATAAGTCAATGAAACAAAGCAGCAAACACTGACTGTCAGTGAAGCTAGGTAATGGACATTTATGATTCATATTTAATATGTCCGAAATTTCCCAAAATAAATACAATAAAATTCATAGGAATAGAAATCTGCAAGAATAAGAAAATCCTAAATGTGAGAAAGCAGGAACAGTCAAGAAAATTCAGAAAATGAGAAATAAAAATACCAAGCATTAAAACAAGTCTAAAGCATAAACAACGTTTAATATAATCCTAACATGATAAAAATCTCACATCTATGGGGAGTGGTAGTGAACATCTAGAATCCCAGCACTCAGAAGCCCAAGGCAAGAGGATCACTGCAAATTCAAGGCCAGCCAGGGCTACAAAGTGAATTTAAGGCTAGCCCGCACTGCATAATGAAATCTGTCTTTGAAAAGACTAAATTTAAAAGAACTTCATTATCTGTAAACAAAAGCAACTCATCATAAATGACTTAGGGAAAAATAGGAAGCCATTTGGAAAAATATAAAAATTGAATCCATACCTCACATCACCCATCAAGATAAAGCCCAAGTGGATGAACAATTCAAATTCAATGTAAAACAAATCATAGATTTATAGTTTAATATCAGAAATCCCAATTCTAGAGACCTATTTTATGATACATTTGTTGTTACAGACTTAATTGTTTTCCCCAAAATCTATACACTGAAGTTTCAACCTTGAATGTGATGGTATTTGGAGATGAAGCTTTTGAGATAATTAAACGAGGTCCTCAGAAAGGGGCACTTGCATATGTCTAAGGCCCATACAGAAAGAGATCAGAGATCTTGCTCTTTCTTTATCATGTAGGGGGAAAAAAAGACATCTGTAAACCTCACCAAAACTAGACTATGTGGCACCCTAACCTCAGATTTTCAGTCTCCCAAACTGGGGAAATAAATTTCTATCGTTTACATTGCACTATGAATAGTATGTTACTATGGAAGCCAAAACTAAAATATCACACAACTATCTAGAGCAGAAGATGCAATAAACTTCAAGTTCTACAGTAAAGTCCAACATAGCTCCAAGGAAAGAGACATCTTTGTACTGCTATAGTACAACAGAGATATCATTAAGATACATTGTTACATGAGAAAAGCAAGATATTTTTCAAATGAGGAAGAATCTACCTTACGTTTATGTATAGATATGCATTTGCTTCTATTTTAAAAGGAAAAAATGCTGCAAAGATTAAACAAGAAACTAAAGGAAATTACCCATGGGACAACAGGGGGAAAGAACAGAGGGAACGAGACAGAACAGGTAGAGGGAGGGGTTAAAATATATACATACATATTTTTTACAATTTTTATTTTGAAAAATGTGAAGCTCATAAAAACACTGGAAGACTAGAACAATGAGTAACAATATGCCCTCTACTTAGTTTTAATAACTGTTATCATCCTGCTATATTTGTCTTATCTCTCATTTCCCCATATATACACATGGGCACATGCCCTTTTCTTTGCAGAACCATTAAAAACTACAGTTCAGATGTTAAGACCCAACATCCCTAAATACCTCAGCATATACCACTTAATAAAGTCAATTTCCTTAATATTTTCAACACAGTATCTTAACTAAAAAGATAATTCATGAAATCAAATTTAACATCTTCCAAGGTCCTTTAATAATGAGTTAAACAAACATGACATATTATTTGTATCTTCTTTTTATATCTTATCTATGTTTTGAGGGAGGTTTGTGGTGTGGTATGGTGTGGTGTGGTGTGTGGTTTGGTGTGGTTTGGTTTGGTTTGGTTTGGTTTGGTTTGGTTTTTTCACACAGAATCTTATTATATAGTTCAGGCTGGCCTTAAATTCACTATATAGCCCAGGCCATGCTCAAACTCACAGAGATCCTCCCACCTCAGCTTCCGAATGCTGGGACTACAGGCATGTGTCACCCTGCCCAGCCTTATCTATATGTCTATATGTTTTTGTTTTGAAAACTACTTTGGCAGCTTTCAAAATTTCACCAAGATGAGCAAGAGGACCTCTCTTCTACAGCCAAATAAATTAAATTCGTAGGTTTTATTAAGCATAGATAGAATTGTTCTTGGCTCCAGGAATGACTTAGGCAGCAATTTTATCTTTGCTGCCATTTTACCTACTGTTGCTTTCATTACCCAGAGTACAGTTTTCTTTCTGTTTCTGGTTTGTATGCAACCAAAAAGTCTGCTTTTTTGGTAGCACAGACTAGAAACTTGGCTTGACGGAGAAATTATCTAATTGACTCGGTCAGGAATGTGGGATACTATATTAAAAGCTACAGAGAATAAGGTTTGTTCGTAATTGTGTGTGTGTTGTCTATGTAATCTGTGACCTCAAATCAGTATTTAGAAGTATTTTATGCCTACTGGAAAGAGGAACTGCCTTTTGAAAATATGGATCAGTTAGTATTTTCTATGTTAATTTTTGACCTATGACTGAAGTTATAAAACTAGTGCTACAAACTCTATGTGTCTATAACAGACTGTATCTCTCACTATGTGAATTTGATATAGTTTTTTTAATAATATATTCAAAAATTTGATTAACATTAAAGGAGTTATTTTCTGACTATTTTGCAGATATCAAAAAATTCCCTTAAATCTAACTCCCAAAATTTCCAGAAAATAAAAAAGTAAATTTCTAACAATTTAAATATGTAGGCCTTACAAAACAATTCTCTACCACAGAAATTCCTGGCTCAGAGGCCTTTTTATATACAAATTAACTCACAATAATCACACTGAATTCCTAACAAAATCAGACACATTTGAAATTATCCTCTAGTTTTGTCAATATGTTTTTTTTCTGTTAAAAGACTGAACTCTGAAAAATAATTTTATACCTTCTAATATCCAATCCATATTTGAATTTCCCTAATAATCCTCTTCCTATCCTTTGACATATACTCAAACATAATTCATATAAACACTCTTATCCCTATTTCAAAGTTGACCCAGATATCATAGCAAGCTTCTGCCTACCCCAATGCCAACACTGGATATAACTACACAGAAGATACTCTGCCGCGGGGTTGGGGGATAAATCACTATCCTCAGGTTGCAGTTATATGCTCAACAAATGACAAGCCAAAAGTTAAGCACTATACATCCTCATGGAGCATGGTAATTAACACCACTTTCACATTAAAATGAACATAGATAAGAGAATGAAAGACAAAAGTTTGCCTCAATTTTTAGATAAAACAAATATTTGATTTAGATAAAACAAATTTGTTGTTGTTTTTGCCGGAACCAGGGATTAAACTCAGACCTTTGCACTTGCCAGGGAAGCACTTATTCTACTAAGCTATCTCCCTGGCCCAGAAAGACTTTTTTAAAAAAAAGCAAAGCTGAAAAGTGAAAATAATCACTCATCTCTGTTAACAGAAGCATTAAATGGGAAAGGATTTATAAGTAAATCTAGGAATCCAACTAAGAAAAGAAACTCACCTGTAACCTTGCAATCTCCTCCCCAAATTTCTTCTGCTGCTTTGCCAAGACAGACTGGTGATACTCAGCGTTGGCCTGCATGATACAGTGCTTTGCAGCCAAGACGGGGAACACCTCCTGGAAATAAAAATACTGACCAGGGGATAGTCCAAGCAAACAAACCATCACAGACAACACGGGACGCAGGAAGAAAAAGGAAAAGAAGACAGAAATTAGAATCACCCCATTAATGGTTTAGAGATAGGTTAGTCATTAGGTGTAAACAGAGAAGACCACATGATTTTGCAAGAATTGAATTCGATGAATTCAATTTTTTCATTTCAATTAAAATTAAGGCTTTTTTGTTTAACTGTTAACTAAAGCCAACTTAGATTTTTCAAATTCACTTCAATTAAGCCATGAAGTCAGTGATTTGTTTACAAAGAAAAAAGGAAAGCATGCATTAGAAGGAGAAGTAGACTGGACATTCAGAGGAAAAGCACAGGGCTTCAGAAGCTTCCTTATGAGTCCTTACCCAGCCCTCAGAGTTAACTAAGCCACCATTACTCACATATACTAATGAAATTGCTCTATAGCTGTTTCATCATGTTTAAAAGACAAAAGACAGCAAAGTAAGTTCTCACTTAAATTCACGTCCTAAGAGTTCTTAATAAAGATTTTTAGCCATATAAAAATGACTCATCAAATAAACACTAACATTTTAGTTACATGTACTCAAAGACATAACACAGACATATAAATGCACTACATTAACAACTAACAATAAAATAATACTTAGCCCTAATTTCAAAACAATTCCACTTGGAATTTTTAAAAATCCAAACACATGAACCAAAAAAAAACCCAAACACATGAACCAGAACAGCCATTATACTGATAGAACTTCTTCCAAAATGTCAAATCCTAGCCTGTAACTTGTTTATGAGATATATTATTTTTTAAAAATTTAAGAAATATACTAGACAATCACTGTCTAGACAAAAATATAAAAGAATCAAAAACTGATTTACTACCTTGAGTGATTTCCTGTCTCCCAGTGAATAATTTCCTAGCTTCCTGGATCACTACTTGCAGATATTCCAGTTTTATAACTAGAATATGAAAATATCTTATGAGCTTTATTAGTAAAAAGGATGGAATAAACGACATCTAAATCTTAAACTTCATTCATGCCAGTACTCAAGGTAAAACTGGAGTAACTTGGTACTTAAAACAGAAGATTTTCAAGGAATACCAGAATGATGCAGAGGTAGTTTCCAAGTCTTTGTAGGAGACATTCTTCTTCCCGTAACAGGACTGAACTAATGGCCCAACAGGTGAACATGAGGTCTTTCAGACAAAAAAATGGTGAGAAGAGATCCCAAGTCTCTTTTTAATAGTAATGCAACTAAGACGTAAGAGTCCTGGGCAAATTTCTATTAGGCTCTTGGTGTACTTTAAATTCCCAGGAATCTTAACATAATTCTTTATTGTTCATTTTCCCACTAAAGTATAATTTTGACATAATTATGTACATCTTTACCCCTAAAGCTCCCAGCAATTTCATTATCTACAAATATTTCTGAATATTTATAAATTAAAGTTACATAACAAATACCATCTGCTAGCATAGAGATGAAACTAAGTCCCTGAACATTTCTGAAAGAAAATAACCAAAACATGTATTTCACCCAATTTTTTTCTTTTTTAACCATTCCAATGTAACTTGTTAGTCTATCATCTGTTCTATCATCTTTAACTGGTCCTTCTAAATGACACCTGAGAAAAGTTTGCATGTAAGCATGATACTTCCTGTGATATAGGGTTTAAGATGGTTGCTATTCCTTAGCTGTCCTTTAGCAGCTCAATTTTCTACCTGTTAGCAAAATTTAATTCTAACCAAAATATCAGGTGAACTTAAGTTTTCTTTTCCTTTTTTTCTTTATGTCTGTTTTTGCGCTTTAAGACTCATCTTTAAGAAAACAGGATAGTAATTAAAAATATGAATAATCAACATGCTCAAGTTCTCATGCTTGTACCAAATCAACAATGATTCAGAATGACATAATGCCTTGATTGGATTAAATTACTAAAAACAAATAATCAGAATTTTCCAGAAAGTTTTAGCTTAGAAAAACTAGTAAAAAGTAAAGGCAAAGGCATCCCCTAAAAAAAGAATCGTTCATGCATATTAAATCTGAAAACTATTTCCACCAATACATTCTTCAAATGTTTCTATAAAATTTTAAGTATCCTTAAGATACATAGTTTTCAACTTGCTTCTTGTTCATATTTCCACATGCAACATAAAAATGTTTATAAAATAATAACTGACCTTGGGGAGAGTGTCTTTGTACTGACACTGTTTAAAAGCATCACCAAAGTAGTCTGCAGCCTGATTAGCCAATTTAGCTATGATTGCATCTTTC